GAATTCTCTGTACTTAAATTTGATAAACTTGAGAAACTGAAACTCTAAATCCATTATAATGTCTGGAGATACAGTGGCTAAAACCAATTACAGAGTAAGAAGCTTATTTATCTCAACAATGGCATCTTCAAAAATCTTCTAGGCATTCTGGGTTTATAAGCTGGCAATTTTTGAGTTCTGAAATAAAAACTTATTCTTCCTGGTACAGAAAAACCTATTATTATATTTTTTCAAAGCATTGTCTGGTGAGAGTGCAGATTATATGTATTCAAAAAACCGAATTGGAAGTTTATTTTTGTGATTGACAAGAAATGTTAATTTTAGAGAATGATGTCACCTGCAGAACATAAATATTTCCTTTAAATATTTTGTGTTCTCTCCATTTCAATATTAAAAATGAATATTTTAAGATAAGGCAAACATCTATTCATTTAGAAATGGGAAATATGTTGTATTTTATAAATAAAATCCTAGGCTGATTTTGAGGACATTCCGAATATCTCTTTGTGGGCAGATGGACAAATGCACTGCAGGTCATAGAATGTGAAGCTTGAAACTCACGGCCTCTGCAGTCTGCCTTTCTGAAAGATCTGGTAACGAGGTAGCAAGGGTTATTCCCGTGCTGGTGATGAACAGAAATGTTTATAGCTGCTGGGACCCAGGACTCGAGTCGACAGCAGTCACTTTGTTGTCTGTTACACATCAGCTTCTAGACTTCACAACTGCCCCAAAATGAAGTGCTGTGCTTCCCCCGCCCCCCCCCCGCCATGAAAAATGTGTCACTGGATATAATTCCTGCAAGTTCTGAATGGAGCTGGAGCGTGATGGGGTGGGACTTGCTCAGTGTGGTAAGCCGTTAGGCTGAGAGCGATTCCCAGCACCACTGAAACCGTGCACACTCCACTGGCCTGGAGCGCTTGGACCCACAGCCAGGGGGTCAGAGAAGCACAAAGAAGCCACCTTCAGCCGGGTCTCAGCGTACTGGCCTCACTGAGCCCTGCAGAAGTGCTGGGGAGGGATGTTCAAAACCAGCAGGGCCGTGCCCCACATGCAGGTGTTTGTTTTAGCTCCTTACTCCCGTCAGTGTCTCTCCAAGTTCTCTAAAGCTCAGCAAATATGCACATAAACCAGCTGTGTGACTTTTCTTTAAAAACTGATTTATCCTGTTTGAGAGTCACTTAATAAATCTAGTATACTGATAAATACAAAAGCATGACATTTTTGCAAGTGATTGCATTAGCATGTCACCATTAGTTGGGTAAGATATATGTATTTATACACACAATGTCTGATGGAGACCCCCCTGAGCAAGCTGCAAGTTTATAAACTAGCTTTACATATTGAAAGTCTGAGTCTGCCTATTGGCCCACAGTGCCTCGCCTGAAGAGCCAGTAGTTGATGTGTGGAAAAGGAACAGCTCCCCACACCACTGGTTATAGCGGAGGCCTCGATGATCCATGACGCTGTGACATCTTGGATGGCAAGAGAATAGTGCAGTTAAGGGCAGCACGACTCATACAGAAAACTCCTATAGGGGAAGAAATTAATCTGTGGCAAAAACAAATTTCCCATTAATCAATGATCTGTTCCTACGATAGAATATTTTGTGCCCTTGTTGCTAGGACCCTGCTGGCATTAGTGCTTTGCACTCCACTGTTCCCTGCCCTGCCTCTTACCCCTCCTAGAAGCTGTGTGTTCAGTTAACAGTGGCAAGCTCCAGGGGACCATGTCTCAGCCTGATAAGAGCTCTGACTGCCCTGGGCCCCCCGTGTATGCATTAAGATCTTGTCTTGTCTTTTGTTATCCTGCTGCTGTACCCTTGGTCAGGTGATTAGAGGTCTGGTCAGCTGCCAATGAATATCTACACAGGTATGTAATGTATATCTACATATACACAAGAATACATATGATTATATATCATTCTCTCTGTATATTTTAATATATACTGTATATTGAATACTATATTGAATTTCTATGGATAATTCTTATTTTTGTAATATATGTGGAGCTAATGGAGCCCCTCAGTAGTTTGAAATCATTCGTATTTGCTACTGACAATGCAGGACAACCTGTTCTCAACTGGTTTCTCCTTTGCCCTAGCATAGAATCTACTTCTGCCAGTGCACTTCTTGTTAAAGATAGTAATTCATTTTACCAAGAGTTCTAGACATTCACCTTCATGGAAGGAAATGCTCATTTTCCCTTCTACTTCCTTCCAATTACTGATGTGGATTATTACATTTAAGGTTGTACAATCGATATCGATGGAAATACGTTAATCAAATATAAAAGGATTACACTATCAATCAAAAAGTAGGTGTCTTCATATTACCTTAACAATAACAATCTCCTCCATATGCTCTCTAGAAGAGACAAAGTGCAGATCAAAGACACTGAGACCTTGGAAGTTTAAGGAGAGTAAAAGATGTACATAATTCAAACAACCACAGTGAAGTTGGGCTGATTAATATCAGGCAGAATAAAGTTTAAAACAAAAAATATTACTAGAGACAAATAGAGATCTTCAAACAATAAAAATATCAATCCACAAGGCAATATAACAATTATAGACAAAGTGGTACTTAATATCACAGCTCCAAGCTGCACCAAAACTGACACAAGTAGAAATAGAAGATGAAATACAATAATTGGATCTTCAAACTCCACTCACAATAATGAACAGAAAATATCAAGGAAATGAATAATTTGAACAACACTATAAATTAACTAGACTTAAAGATATGTGTACTGAACATACCCATCCAATGGGAGAAGAAACAAATACAGAACATTTCCAGGAGGACCACAGTAGGCTGCAAAGCGAGCCTCAACAATTTAAATCATTGAAAAGTGTGTTTTCAACCAGAGTGGAATGAATTTAAAAACTAGTACAGAAGGAAGCTTAGGATATTAACAAATATGTTCAAATTAAGAATAAGGAAAAACTCAAAAAAAAGATTAGAAAAGTCTATGAAATGCAACATTGCAAAAGTGAGAGTGTAAAGCAGTGCTAGAGGCAAGTGACAGCTGTAGCATCTGTATCAAAAGAAGCAAGATGCTCATCGACTAACATAACCTATACTTAATGAGTCAAAAAAGAAAAATGCAATCAAGCAGAAGAAAGGAAATTAGATACTAGAAAAAATTGAATGAAGTTGGAAATTAGAAAACAATAGAAAAAACAAATGGAACAAATGTATGCTAAGTTGAAAATATGTTTCAAGCCCAAGAACAAAAGAAAGAAATGACTCAAGTTATTAAATCAGGAATTTAAGAGTGATCATCACTAATTTATAAAATATTATAAAGCAGTGGTACAAACTGCTGTAAAGGAACAAATTAGGTAGCATAAAATGTGAACAATCCTAGAAAAGCACAACTCACTGAAATCCACTCAAAGAAGAGAGAGAAGTTCTGATGAGGCCTATCCAAGAGTTCCTCTGATAGGGCTGACACCTCGGGACAGGGACAATGTGGACTCACTGCAGCGCTTCCAGGTGGCTGCGATAGTCCAGGTGTCCTCTGAAATGAAGGCATCCACAGGCACAAGGCTTGGCCAAAGACCCTCTGATGTTAAAAAGGTTATCTTCTTTCTATTTTTTAAACTTCTAGTAAATTTTTATATGCCTATTATTTTAGTTGTTTGTAGTTTGTGTGAAAACTTCAAACAGTACAAAATCATTTTATTCTTATTTTTCTTATGACTTAATATTCCAGTTGTTTACTTTGTTTTTGTTGAAATTTTTTAAAATCACATTTAAAATTTTAAAGTATTTCATGTTCTGTACATGATATATGGAAGATCCCTTTTAAATTTGAAGCTCCATATCCAACAAAAACTATTTAAATAAATATGGAGAAAAAATATAGCAGGATATACATGGATGATAAGAATATTTATTTGGTCATATAATGGAAAATATGAAATTTTGTTAGAGATGTGGATGAAGTTACAGAGAAATCCTTTCATGTATCAGTGTGAAGAACTATGTGTGAATTCCAGACGGTTCTGGGGCTCAAAATGCTTAAAATAGCTGCAGGAAGAAGAGAAATTTTCAGGCAGAATCGCAAATCCAGTCTCACGTCGGCACTCACACCTGGTAAGATATTTGAAGGCCAATGTGGAAGTATCATGGGTATCTCAGCGAGCTAATTATACATTTTTATGTTTGTTAGTAAAGCTTCTTTTATGTTGTGAAGTGTGTCTGAAATCCTATACTAGTTTTTCTATGTGGGACATGAAGCTTCATTTAGGACGAAAAAACAAGATCTGCTTTTTTGGTCTCTTTTGTTGTGGAAAGGCCCATCAATAGACCTGCCTTGTAAAAGCGTGTTCTTTCTCATCGAGAAAGCCGGCCTCGTCACTAGCGCTCCCAACTGGTCTCAGCAGCGACGCACAAACGGTAGTTGCAAGGAACCATCTTTAACTGGCTTCACACTCTATCCCTTCATGACACTCTGACTGCCACTCACACTGTCAGTGTCAGTAAACCACTGAAGAAAACGCCAATTCTTAGGATTATCTCTCCAGTTCTCCCACAGTTGTGCATCACCTCAGCATTGTGTTTACTTCTGACTCAAACTTTAGTGGTGGTCATTTCTAGCGGCGATATCATTACTAAAAGCGCAGTTAGTTACCCATGCCTCGGTACTGACAGTAGCAGTCAGGGGAAAGGACTGTGCTTCACTTCTGAAAGACTTAAGCACCTACAAAACTTGTTTGGAATTCCTCTGCATGGGAGTCTGTGTGGTCCATTCTCCAATATGAATTTATTTACTTAATGACTCGGATTAACATGGATTCATGTATATTTATTTCACATTGTGTGTTGTAGTCCAACGAGCGCTCTGCCTTCCCGTGTTCACGCTCGGCTCGGTGGAGGCGCTCAACCTCCGGTCAAGAAAGACGATGTTTGCTGTTGTACGCAGATACTTTCTGCTGTATTTCAGGAAGTCCTTTCTCACCAAGAACCATTCTAGTAACGACAAGAAGCAAACATCCGGGCCTTTCGGTCAGAGCTCAGGTCCACTGGCCAGCTGGAGAGGAAGTCCTCGGGCAGAGCGAGGTCCGCGGGCCTGGCTGAGTGTGGGCTGCGGGGACGGGGGAGGAGCGTGGACGGGGAGGGGCGGGTGGGAGAGGGGCGTGGGCAGAGGGGAGGGGCGCGGACAGATGGAGGGAGGGGCATGGATGCGATGCGGAGAGGTCCTGCTCCCTCGCCGCTGCTCCCTGCCTTTCTCGGCGCCTGCCTAGCTCCTGCCGTCGCCCCTGGTCCGCAGACTCCGGGGTCCACACCTGGCCGGGGGCGGGGGGGACCCTCGCCGGCCCCAGGGCTCCTGGCTTCACCGGGTCTGCACCCTCGGGCCTCTGTCCTCGGCTGGGCCAGGCCCGGAGCCGCCCGCCCTACCCAGGTGGGGCTCCATGCCCCGAGAGCGGAGGGGTGTCCTGGAGGCCCAGCTGGTGGGCACCCTGGGTATGGGTAACGCCCTGCAGCGGGTGCTCCCTCCTGCCCGCCGCTCTGGGTTCCAGCCTGGGGTCCGGCGCCATCTCCCGGCCTTGATAACCAGGCCCAGCCCGGCCCAGCACTCTGCTCTCGAGCTCGGAACCTGTCCCGTGCCCTTAGCATACGACCAGTGTGAAAAGAAGTGTTCGCTGAACGAAGGAGAGGAAAATGACTAGAAAGGGATTGATTGTTTAAAAGTTACTTTCTTTTATAATTAATTTGGGGGATTCTGTAATTACTGCAGTGTAACTATTTGTCCCTCATAGGAGCCCATCTATCCCTAATAATCACTGATAGAAATTGACTGTAAGTTTTCTGTGAATTTTTAAGTTGGCAATTTGGTTACACACCAAAGATGATACGTAAGCAACGCTTGTGCAAGAATAAGATGCGAGACAGTTTGTTAGCTGTATTCACTTAGACCTGTGCTCAACCACAGATGTGCCCGAAGGAGAAGTGTGACATCAAGGGTCTCCCAGCACTGGCCCCAGCAGTTCCAGGCGAGGCGGGCAGCCCCAGTGTTTGTGTTTCTAACTAGCTGGCAGGTAAGCTGACCCTGCTGGTCTACAGTCGTCCTGTAGTTGGGTCCTCCCCCAGCACCTGCCTGGCAGTGGTGCTGAAATGCAGTGGCGATAACGTCCAGCGTGCACGGAGAGTTCCCCATGTGGTGGGCCTTGTCCATGTGGCCCACATAACACCTGTGTGTACCTGGACACAGCAGTCAGCTTTTCAAGTGATCTTGGAGATTAAGAGCTGTTTTTAGAGGCACCAGGTAACTAAGTTGCCTCGTGTCCCTTTACTATAAACAGTGGTGCTGAAATGTATCCCAAGTACACAAAATTAAACACTATATCATGCTGCCACTTTGCTACCATATTGAATTAAACAAGTTTCCAAAAAATTATCATAAATAATATTGTGTCCCAATAATAACAACAAATGTTTACTGAGTAGGTACCATGTGAACTGTTTATCATACACTGTTCAGCCCCATTCCACCAACAACCGCATGAATTAGCACATCAACTGTATTCTACAAGGAAGGTATTCTTGCTGAAGTTGCATAACCAAGACTTCACATCCTTGTTCCATCCTGTGGTGCTCATCTATTGGACAACCTGTGACTCCATTTCCCTGACTCTCAGTCCACTCCCTAATACAAATTTCCCAAGAAAGCAAATGACTTATATAACATTTAACTCCTTGTGTCTGGCAAGGTGCCCAACATACAAATACTCAATATATAGTAAATATTGAACTAACACTTGATAAAGCCCAGTTGTAAGAAACTAGCCCACTTAATTAGGTTTCAACAATGCCATGGGTGCAGTGAGCAATGCAGGATTTCTAACTCAAAGAAAACATTTAAGGTTGGCTTGATGAAAATGACTGCATGCTGAGGAAAAGCCATAGGGGTAAAAAAAATCGAGAAAAAATTGAATGCATTTGTTAGCAGAAAAAACAAAGCAATCTATCTTGTGGCACTAACCTTTCTCTATTCCTTAAAATGAGATTCTTATCGTTCTCACACAATCAGTTAGCATTCAGTTAGCTCTCTCCCAATTTTGGTGAAATTCCTGTATGTTGTAGCAGCAGTCATGCTGGGTAGAAGTATGTGATGTGGTGAGCAGAGTCCCTCCAGCTAGAGGATCTTGCTGTTGCTGAAGTTTACCGTGTGGGGAGCAGGTGCCTGCCCGGGGCCCAGACAGGGCCTCCTCCAGGGCTCAGGGTCAGAGAAAGGGGACCGGGTGGGCAGATGTAGGCAGAGATGGGGAAAGAGAATAAGACAGAGTGTTTTTCAGACTCAGTTCTCAGAAGCAGGTGACAGCCCGCCTAGCGAATGCACTAACATATCTGAAGAGTGACCGTGTTAGAGTTTATTTTGTGGTCTGAAAAGGAATAAAAATGTCAACAAAGAGGAGACTTTGCAGGTGACATTGGCTTCGTTGTCCACAGGAAGAGAAGTCCTCACTAGTGGATGTCCCCTGGCCAGCGTTAGTGTCAGATCTGAATGCAAAGAGGAGCTGGCTGCAGGCTGTTTCAGGCTGTAGGTTGTGAGATTACAGACCCTGACAGAGCCCTGCCTTAACCTGTGTCCATGGACAGAATGGGGGCCTCAGGGCAGAGTCAGGGCCATTTCAGTAACTCTTTGATTCTTACCCATTTATTCAGATTGTAGAGCAGATATCGCCTTTGATAATTTTTTAAATGTCTGCAGTAAAATTTTTTATTTAAAATTTAGAAATGAGACTTCTGAATGTTTGGCTTCGCAGTAGTTGGACAAAGGTGAAGATGAGCTTGGGTGAATGGACTGAGTCACCTCCTCAGCCCTGGACCACAGTCCCATGACTGTAAGAAAGGGCTTGATAATAGCAGGTTTGATAGAGCAGGACTCCAAAGAGCGGGCGAGCCAATAGACACACTTGGGAAAAGCAGAATGAGCCACCCCTCAGCAGAGCAGGGCAGACAGCACACTCAGAAGGACAGGCCAGCAAGCAGCTCTTCAGGTCTGCCTCGTGAGAGATCACTGTCCACTGTGATCTCTGATAGCAATATGACTGTTTGACATGCTTTTTTCCTAACAACGGCTTCCATTCATTGAGTGATTAGTGTGTGAAGACCTGGTGTAGACACTTGCCTGGCTTCTCACCAGTGTTCTCAAGCTAGCTAATTCATGCTTGGCACCACATGGAGTCCCTGTGGATTTGAATCCTCGGTGGGCTGTGTTCTGACCCACTGCCTTCAGGAAGGATGTCCAGGTTCACAGATTAGTAGATCCCTGACACAGAGAGATGGTAAAGAACTGACTCGATGTTTGTCAGAGCCTTTGCTCCGTCCAGGAGGCTGGGAAGAGCTGGTTACATGTGGTCCCAACGGTGACGGCTTTTCAGCAAAGAGCCTGGTGATCCTAATGCCTGGGGTCAGGTAGTTCACCTTCCAAATCACAGCTTCTAGATTTATCTTCCCTCAGTTTCTGTCAATCCAGCGCCCTGCCTGGTCTCTTCTTCATACAGAAGAAGCAGAGCTAGGCCTCCCCAGCAAGAGGCTGGTACTGGGAGTGAACAGAAGGAACAGGCAGAGTGGGACAGCTACATGCAGCACCCCACCCCACCCCCGTGTCCCCAGGCTGGGGCGGGCTGCAGGCTGCACACTCCCCCACCCTCGGGAAGAGGCCTTGCACGGGCGTCCGGACGTCTCTGTATGGAGACGTTCTCCATGACGCAGTGCGGTGGAGCAAAGCTGAAAACCCAGAGACATGTGGACCAATTCAGTGAATAACTTTTTCCAATTTCTTTTCCTAATTAGTCCTGAAAAGTATCCCAGAGTGAGTTTTAAAAGGTGTTTTTGTACATGAGAATTTGGCATATGAATAGATTCTGAAAACCACCGAGGGTGTGGATGTTTTATTTAGAGACCATCTAAACCCTCATATACTGTGGTGTAGTGATTTACTGTTCAGAAGGCACACTGAACATCAGCCAGGAGGTTATGCATATTTTAGCTGTATTTAACAAGGCGAAAAATGTCACCTTCTATTAGTAAAATGTAAAACTATCTTCATAAATCCAGTTCAAACCCTCTACCTATAATTCTGTTGACCACTGAGCTGCAGCAGCAGCTTTGGAAAGACATGCTCCTCTGAGAGTCTAGGATTGGAGCTGTACTGTTCCAATTAAAAGTGAAGTGAAAGTTAAAGCAAAATGAAATTTACTCTGAAAGTTTCTCATCTGTGGTATTTATAGAGCACCTTGATTCTGAAGTGACAGAAGAAAAGCCTAATTTATGTATTGGGAGAGTCAAGCCAAAAAGGGGTTGCCAGAATCTAATTTACTTTTTCTTCTATTTCTGCCTGTGTGATTTCAAGGGGTTTAGATGTTCTTCTCCGTTAGGTAAAAATTGTCTCAGGGACCCAGTTCCCACCCCTCTGCCCCGCAGTGTGGAAGAGTGTTTGGGCTAAGAACTTGAGCATTGAGACTCAGTGAGTTGGAGATGTGGGGGGGATTTTAATCCTTCCCTCCAGAAGCTCTGGGTTCTGCGCAGGACGCAGAGGGGCAGTGAGTGCCTGTGGAGTGGCACAAGGTCTCTCCTAGCGGGAAAGTGCCCGTTGCCAAGGATCCAGGGGACAGGGAGAAGCAAATGCTGCTGGAGCCTGGTTAGGGCAATTCAGCAGAGCTGGAGCTAGGCCGACAGTCTTTTTAGTAACCTTCTTGAGAATGAGAGACACTGGGCTTCATGGTAATTCGGCAAATGAATCTTATTAACTTATCCAGAAGTAATACTGCATTTGGAATTTATGGAGCAAATGCGTTGTGATAAAATATATGGTGAATGTTCAAAAATATTTTTAAATTTCTGTAAGAGACACTGCCATTAGCTCCCTTCAGAGCACTGCCCCTCACATTGGACAACTACCTCTTCATCCTTACCACTTTCTGAAGCAGTTCTGGGGTCCTGTTGCAGGACCTCAGCCATGCTCTAGTGATGGCCTCCGTGTCCTGAATCTATTCACTGTGTTTACCTTTCACATCATTTTGACTTGGCAAGTGTCAGAAGTCACAGATATGGTGAATAAGGCAGTAAAGAGCACACCATAATGCTCTTGTAAGACTGCCTTTCCACTGCATGGCTCTCAGCTGTGTTTTTGCTCCCACCTTGTAAAGACACTCCTGAAAGAGGACTCCAGAGCTGCTTCAGAAACTGGCAAGGGGAATGGCCCCATGGATGTGTGAAGTGGGGTGATTAATGACAATCTGACTTTTACTGTGATGGCATTTTTTATTTGAACAAACCCTATTTTTTATCAGTCATTTTTCATCTTTACAATCATAGCCCCACAAAGCTGGCTATGAAAATGTAATTAGAAAACTGAAAGATGGCTTACTCTTCACCAGGGAAGCTCTGGTAATCTCGCCCTGAAATCCAATAAAAAGGACACTATTAAGAAGAATTTACTGCAGCACCCCAGGGCCCACATCCTAGGCTTGATACTGCCTTTCTTCTGGAGTACTATATCACACTTACGAAGATATTTAACCTTTTGTTTTCCGATTTCCTTCTCTGAAAGCAAGGATAATAGAAGTATTTCACAATGCTGTCACGAAATTACATGGTCAATTATATGAAAAGAGCTATGGATAATACTTTATTTTGCATTTTTAACTGACAGATGAAATTATATATACTCATGTAAAATATGAATCTTAAAGTATATATAAATTTTAGGTTGACTAAAACTTGTGAATTAATCTATGAATTATTTTAGCAGTGAGAATATTACATGGATTCTCTGAACATTTTTCCTGAAAACCATGTATTGTTATTATCTCTAGTCATTGTGTTATACTATAGATTTCTTGAACTTCCACCATCTCACTAAAATTTTGTATCCTTTGACTAACATTTGCTCAAGTCTGCTCTACCTGGATTCCAGCCACTGGAAGCCTTTCTACCTTCATCCTACAAGACTCACCATCAGAGTCTGAGTGTGAACAGGTGCCCCGCATCCTTGAACCACACAGAATGGACCGAGGACTTCCAGGGATAG